GAGGGACAGCGCCCAGGCCCAGAGTTCAGGCCCCACGACCGGACCCCCCCCCCCCCCAAAAAGAAAAAAGAAGTTGGTAGAGACCAAACTGGTGAGGGCTGTTCACTGATTGACTTAAAATGTAAGGTTGTGTCATTGGTTATTTTATTATTTCATAACTTGCAGACTGTGAATAAAATTTGATTTTTGCATTAAGAAATTCCCAGTAGTTAGTGGCAGAATGCCTTTCTAGTAAACATAGACCTTGAATAAAAAAAAGTATTAAAAAAAAGAAAAGAAAGGAAATTAACTTTGAAAAAAAATAATTAAAATGTTTTTATTATTGTAAAGGTGATGTACAGAAGGGTTACAGTTACCTAAGTCAGGTAATGAGTACATTTCTTGTTGAACAGTGTCATGTCTTCTTCCAGTATTTCCCTACTGACCCTCCCCCACCTCCACAAATTGTATAGTTCATTTTCAACATAGTGTCTAGCCAGTATCACTGCTGTATTTGTTCACCCTTTGTACCACCATTTCTGTGCTCTCTCTTACCCTCCCCCAAACAGACACAAGACAAAAGGTTTAGAAAACACAAGCAGTGGCAAAGGAGACTAAAAAAGAAAAAAATAACAAAAAAACCTCTTGTTTCCATTTCTTGAAGTTCATTTCAATAAACATCATTTTATGTGATCATATGCATATAGCTTTTGAGCCTTTGTGATCTTCTCCTAAGAATATCCTCCTTTGGTCTCACTGTATACATGTCTAGAGTCTTGTATAATTTATTATGACCAACTATATATTTTTTTTAATTTAATTTAATTTTATTTGAGAACATACTGTACAGAGGGGTTACAATTACATGGGCAGGATAATGCATACATTTCTTACCAAGCATTGCAGCCTCCTCCTTTGTTTACCCTTCACCTCCCTTCCCAGCCTCCCCCCTCCCCCCACCCAATCCTTTCTCCCACCCCCCCCACACCGACATTGTAAAGCTCGTTTTTGACATGACATTTTGTGCTTCTCATTGTTGCAACAGGTCCACCTGAACCAACTATATTTTTTGTCTTCTACAATCCAGTGTGTTTACTTGTAGATTTATAGACACATTTTAGTTATAAAATGAGGGAAACCATGCAACCTATGTTACTTTGGATCTGGCTTACTTTGCTTTATATGATTTTTTCCAAGTCTTTGCATTTCCTCATGAATGGGACAATGTCATTCTTTCTGATGGAAGCATAGAATTCCATTGTGCATATATACCACATTTTCTTTATCCATTTTTCCACTCGGGCATCTAGGTTGATTCTATATCTTAACTATGGTAAACAATGCTGCAGGGCTGGGAAGGTGGCTCAGTGGTAGAGCGCTTGCCTTGCATGAGGCCCTGGGTTCCATTCCTCAGCACCACATAAGAAAAAAGAAAAAAGCTGGAAGTGGGGCTGTGGCTCAAGTGGTAGAGCGCTAGCCTTGAGCTGAAGAGCCTACCCCCCCCCCCCCCCCCCCCCCCCGCCCAAAAAAATGCTGCAGTGAACATGGTTGTGCTGGTAGCTTTAGTATGGCCTTGTTTTGCTGGGTCATAGGGAAGTTTTATGTATCCCTTTTGGCTTCAGCCCCACCAGTGTCTGTTATTGTTAGTTGAAAAAAAATTTTTTTTCCTTTTGGTCAGTTTTAAGGCTTGAACTCTGGGCCTGGGTACTGTCCCTGAGCTCTTCAGCTCAAGGCAAATGCTCTACCACTTGAGCCACAGCACCATTTCCAGTTTTCTGGTGGTTAATTGGAGATAAGAGTCTCAGAGACTTTCCTGCTTGGGCTGGCTTTGAACTTCAATCCTCAGATCTCATCCTCCTGAGTAGTTAGGATTACAGGTGTGAGCCACCAGCGCCTGGTGGGGGGGGGGGCAGTGCGCGTGGAATATTATACATAAGTGAGGAAAGGTTTTAAGGAAGAAGCTGGTATTTTTTGTTTCTTCTTACTTTCCAATGTTTTGCAAATATTCTATAGTATATATTTATTATTAGAAAAATATTATTTTTAATTTAAATTTTAATTATAGTAATGTTTGAGAAATTTTACATTTTTATCCACTTACATAAGTGTTTAAAGAGAAAATAATATTTATTTAGCCTTACTGTGCCCAGTGCAGTGCCAGTTGCTATGAAGGATATATAAGAAAAGATCAGATCTCTGTAGGATTTTCCTGTTCTTTACATAGGCCAAATTTAGTGCATGATTTAGGACAAATGCATGATTAAATGTAAAAGATGTTGTGATATGAGCTTGGAAATACAATGGCTGGAATAATTTTGGAAAAGATGTTAATTAAATTGATGTCTTCACATTTGAGGGTGTAGAATCTTTTAGAACAATGTTAGGATGTGTGCATGTAGGCACATAGGACAAATGTAGGAGAGGAGACAAGATCAACCTTCTCTTTGTGTTCTGTGTCAAACCTTTTTTTTTTGGTCGGTCATGAGGCTTGGGCGCTGTCCCTCAGCTCTTCAGTTCAAGGCTAGCACTCTACCACTTGAGCCACAGCACCACTTCTGGCGTTTTTTTTTCTTTCTGCTTATGTGGTGCTGAGGAATGGAACCCAGGGCCTCATGTTCTACCACTGAGCCACCTTCCCAGCCCTCCCCTCACTTTTGTTTTAAATGGTCAAGACCTTTTTTGATCCATCTCTGGTTAGTATATGTCAAAACCTATAGGAAATAGCCATGCACTTTGTCATCCAAAGTTTGGGCCATTCACTTGTTTAATCATTATCACTTGGGAGCATGTTAATATTATAGAACTCTCTGCTGTAGATTTTCTGAAGTTAATATCTCATTTTAATGAGATTCACAACACAGTAAAACATGAGTCATATGAGATTCAGCCCTGTCAGAAAAGAATGACAATCCTAACTAAAATGTAGTTGCCTCTATTATTTAACAACTAAGGGACCAATACGGTCTTTCCTAAAAATTTCTGCCATTATCCTTCCCTAAGTGTACTATGATTAGACTCTTTCTTTAAAGAATGATGATTTGGGAAGACTATATATTAGCCAGCACATTAAACAAACAAACAAACAAACTCTCCTTTTTTAAAAACAGGATTTAACCAGGAAATACCTGCTGTACACTATAGAGAGGAACAAGGAAAATTCTTTCTATGCTCTGAGGAAGGGCAGAAGAAACAAGGCATTATGAAATCAGAGGCCTTGAGTGGAAGTACCCAGACAGCTTCATTTCTTTAACAATTTTGTCTGTGTCAAATTACAGTTCAGCTAATTCCTTGATTCCTTTGAAGGCTTCTTCTCTACTAGCATGGAATTTTGCTTGTTACAAGTTGAATCATGTTTCTAAATCAAATTGAGTTTAAATTCAAAAGTGTGAGTAAAAGGTACAGTGTTGTTTCTAGAATAAGGTATAGTGGAAAGGAAAAGAAGGACACGCAGACAAAATTAAATGCTATATTCATTTGTGAAATGATGGTTGTTTTCATCAAGTACAGTTTTTTTTCCCTGAGTTTCAGTGAACAGTTGGCAATAGCCAGAGTGAATCCTTTCATAATTTGTGAAAGAGGGATAGAGAGGGACCTATTGGTTTTAAATCAAACATTTCTAGTTCCCTTTTCAGTTCTTAAAAATGAAATTCGATTCCTAAGGGCAATTTGAGAATCTTTTTAGGTTTCTTAAGGTGATTGGGGTAAATGAAAGAAGAGGAATTAAATGAATAAAGATACATACAAAGAAGAGATAAAAGTAACTTAAAATTCTCTTTGAAGATGTATAAAGTTAAGGTTCTGATGTGAGCTGACCAAAGTAAAACATGTTATTTACATTTTTAGATGTTCCTAAAAGCCAGAGGAAGAAAACTTCATAATAATAGCTGGTAGGCTAAATTTACAGAGATCTGGTTAGCTCCTACATTCATCTTCCTCCTTTACCTTCTAAATAATGAAGAACTATAAGATTTCCTGACCAACTGGACCAATACCGCTAGCGAACTTCATTATAGACTTTGTGGCAGAAAAGCTTCTAAGACAGGTGTATATTAGCCTGGCTGGATTGGCTTGTGTTTGTAATCCTCAGATATTATTTTCTTCTTCATTTGCTTTATTAATTAAAGATAGCATATGTTGTAAGTATTTAACCTGTAAGTGATAATGGCTAGATGCACAAACTCACCCAGAAGTGGGACAATAGTAATGAGATGGTGATACTAGTGAGAGGTACCATTTTCAGGCCTAGGCATGTAGATCAGAGGTACAGCACCTGTGTAGCTGTAGATGGATTGACATCCATCACTGTAAAAAAGGTGGCCCTGGGACTGATATCCAGCATTATGAAAAATGAGAGAGGAATTATTTTCAGAGCCTGTTATCTTTATTTTATGTACCTTAACTTTAGAGCAGATTTTAAAGGGTTATGAATCATTTAACTGGGACACACAGATTGGATAACCTTTGTAATGTAAGGCACTCAGGTCTACTCTCCAGGCTTACAGAAGCATCCTTGTGCTGAGAAGAGTCATTTTCTACAGGGACATTCCCCCCCCCCCTCTTTTTTTAACTATGTTTTCAAATGCATTAGATACTCTTGGTCAGACAATTTATATTTTTTTAAAATAATAGAAGCCCCAGATGATAATTCAAGCAGAGGTACTTGTGGATTTAGGGGTCTCAAAGTATTTTTCAAAACAACTATGTGGGTTATATTTTGATAAAATATAGAGTATGTACAATGAAAGTATTCACAAAGAGACTTTAAAAAGTCATTTGAAAAAACACTCAAATATAATTTTATTTTGAGAGGGTAATTCTTAAGGAATAGTTTTATACAGAAGAAGTTAATGATTTTTGACACATGATTAAAGTATAAAGCTGACAGTGTGGTGAAGAATTGAATAGATTAGTGGATGGCATAAATAATTTACAATTCTATGATGTAAATGTTAGTGAATATATATATATATATATATATATATATATATATATGATGCATCACTTAATTTAACATTCAAACTTTTACTTGCAAGGAAAGCAGACTATAGTGTTTTTGTGCAAATATTGAAAGCCATTCAAAAATCAATCAGTAAAGTTTACTGGCACTTTCTATGGACAAGACACTGATAGATATTTTAGTAAATTTAATGAAAACTTCAGAAAGGATTATCCTCCTTAGGTTTTTTGTGATAGTGCATTTCCCAGATCTCTGAGATTTTATGAAATCTGTCTCAGAAAATTTTCTCCTTAGAAATGTCACAGAGTTAAAAGGTAGCTTTCAAAGAAATCCCCTCTATGCAAGCAAATATCCAAATAATAGGCCAAAATGCCTTTAACAGTAATAAAAATAATAATAAAACTCAAGACAACATAGAAATATCTACTTTACAAAATAATTTACACTATTTATTAAAGATACCAAGAAACTGTGTCTGTGAATAATTCTACAAGGACATGAAAAATAAGCATGTTAGTAGTAGTATACATTGTTAGAATAATTTATTCTGAACTAGTAACGCTAAATATATTGAGGGTTTTATCTGCATAAGATTCTATGGATTCTGAAATTGTGAATTGGTGATGGGATGTGGCAAGTCCCAGTGTTTTTTCTGGATAATCAGTTCCACAGTGACAGTTTCTTTAGTTCTTCATTTCCTACTTTCCTAAGTCTTTGCCCTAGGCTTCTAATTCTGGTAACTATCTAATTCTGGTAACTGTCTTCTCTTCTCCTGGAATATATTACTTCAATTGAGCTGTCTACCTGGTAGAGATCGTGAGAAGATTTAAAAAAAAGTATCAGTATGTGCTATGTCAAATATATCTTACAGTAATGGATTGGCTGGGCCAAGAAATAAAAACGGGAGAGTAGTAGAATTGAGAAAGGGGGAAGAGTGAAGGTGAATAACTGAAAGGGATTGATTGTCAAGTGACACATTAGGAGCCAGAACAAGAGGATGGAAAGAAAGTGGAGGAAGTGAATATAAAAGACTAATTGTAGTTAGCAATAGTTATCCTTGTATAGAAGTGATAGAAAGATGGGGAGAAAAATAGAAAGCTAACTATAGAATGGGTGAGAAAGAAAGAAGGAACAATGGCAAGAAAGGAAATGATAAAGAGAGTACAAAGAATACTAACTAGGAAAAAACAACAAAAAATAAATGCAAGAAAATAAAATATACAGTGCATCAGGATTATACTGGTATATAGATCTCCATACACAAAATGGATTGTTCGTCTGCCTTTAACATACAAAACCAGATAATTTTGCAAACAGGGACTTTTGAGAGAAAAAGGTGGAATCAGAAAGCAAAAGGAAACTCAGACAAGTAGCTTCCAAGTTTCAAGGCAGAAGTGGTTATGGCTTTTGTACTTTCTTTTAGGTCTTCACTAATTTGTGACAGAGCTGGATTCACCCACTCCAAAGAGGCCTAATCTCATTAGCTCCACTTAAGCCACTATTCCACTACTACTGGAATGAAGAAACACTAAAGGATCACCAAGGGGATACTTAACTCTTGGGAAAAAAAGTTGGGGAACCGTTGGTATAGAATATTATTTTCCTTCCCCTAAGAATGCTTGGTTAAAAGAATCCCTAGGCCTGAAGTAATAAGCAGCCTTCTACTTGGTCCTGTGGATTGATACCTCCTTGAAAGGATTCAAATGAAGTATGTTTATCTGCATTAAGTTGGTCTCCATTTATATTCTTAAATTGTTCCCCTGTAGCTAACCCAACTAATGTATTAGGACTTTCAGTTGGCATAGAAAGATCACTATCAGTTAGGCTTTGCCTTCCATTGCTAGATGGAGTTGCTGTGGTGGAGGAATGAAGCTTTGTTAATTTGGAGCCAAGGCATGGTACCTTCAAGATATTAGGTGGTCTTTGCTCTTCCCTGTTGTTGTCATTTCCTTCCATTTGAATACCTTCTGGTTTGGGATCTTTGTCAGGTGTACCAATAACAAGCTGCTCAGGAGTAAGGTCAACAGTTCTTTTGTCAGGCTGGTTGCTTTCGAAAATTTGTTCCAGATCATTATTTCTATCTTCTCCCAGATCATTTTTGAGACAAGGTGTGTTCTTTGATTGAAGGGTACTGGCATCAGGAAAGGACAGAATTCCTATTTGTCCCAGTTGATTCTTTATAGAACATGGTGTATTCCTTCTCATAGTGGACATATGATCTCTAAAAAGACTTGGGCTTTGGCTTTCTCCAGGCAGTTCCTTCTCTGAGTTGTTTCTCTGATCAGTTAGGATACTTGTTGGAGAGACAACAGATCTTGTATATTTGGTATTGCTACTTTCGGTATACATAGGGTTTGTGTCTTGCTTCTCTCCTAGTGCAAGACTATAGGATGGCGTATAGTCTTGTAGAGCCATTGGATTGTCTTTAGGCCCGATGGGGCCACCAATGCAGCAGGAACCTCTTTGGCCTTGGTGAAATAAATGTGCTTCTTTTTGACTTGATGGGTAAATTTGAGGAATTAAATCTGGGAAAGCCAAATGTTCTCTTTCTGGTAAAGTTAACCTAGTAATTTGCAAGTCATAGTTCAAATTCTCATCTTCATGCCAGGTTGGATTTTTCTGAAGTCCAACTGGGGAATTCTTGGGATAGAGATAGTTCTCATTTTGGTCTGGTAGATTAGCTGTGTGTAAATTTGTTGACTGCTCCCAGAAATCTTTGTTGAAATATGGCTCTCTTTCTTTTTGCTCTTGGGTTTGAATCCTGTGGTCCCAGGAGTTCCATGAAGGGAAGAGAGTGCTTTCTTCTTGTCCAATAGCATTAGTAAGATAATAGTCCCCATTCTCCACCGGTGGTGATAGAGTGGGACCAGGACTGTTTGAGGGAAAAGTCTCATCTGGGTTCCAGGGATAAAGTTCACCATAAAGGAAATCTTCCCTGGGTTTTGGTGGATTACCCAAGGAATAGGGAAAATATTCCTTTGGTTGATTTGAGGCATATTGCTTACCTTTGAAAAGCCTAATTTTTGAGCCTCCTTTATAGTCCATCTCATCCTCACCCCATTTATTTTGTTCTGTAAAAGATTCATCTCCAGTTGGATCAATTGGGTCTTCTTCATTATAATGAACAGTGGCTTTCTGGTCTAGAGCATTCATGACATACTGTGAATTTTCTGGTTGCCTCACAGTTTTGGGAGTATCATCAACTCTTTCATCCCATATATTGCCTCCAATGTATAATGAGTTTTCCCTAGGATAATAAGGGCTATAATTAGGGTAGAAAACATTTCTGTTAGAGCCATGGGACAGATGAGGTAAATGTTTTTCTTGCCTTCCAGGATATTCCTTAAAGGATGGTGGGATTCCTTGGTGGTTCCAGGTATTTCTTCCAGCAGGAAAACGTTCTCTTGTAGGAGAAGGGATTTCCTTAGGATACACAGGTTGGTGTGTATTTTGCTTTGGTTCATGCTGTTTAGTTTCAGACTCATAAGGGATTCTTTTTGGCTCTAAAGCAATCCCTTTTGGTAAATTATGGCTTTGGGTTTGTGCATTGGAACTTGGTGCTCTTTTGGAATCTCCTCTTGGGTAATAGGAGTTTTCACGTTGATTAACAGAATTAAAATTTGGGCCTATCATGTTACCTTCAGGGCGAGGCACTTTATAATTTGGTTTGTTAATTCTGTAATGTTGAGAGTTTCTCCAGGGGGCCGGTGTAGCCTGTGTAGACGGGGTTTGTGGACCTGGTGACTTTACCTTTGGATTTTGGATTTTTTCATTGCGGCCAACAATGCCCTGTTTGGGACCCAATGAAGCAGCATTGGTTCCCACAGGTTGCTTATTTGGCCCCTGAGGTTTTCTCTTGAAATTCGCTGGATTTCCTACATAGTTGGGATAGTTGACTCTTGAAGTAGGAGGGTAAGATTTTCGATAAGTTGGATTTCCTGGATGAGCAGTTGGATTTCCTGGACGAGCAGTTGGATTTCCCAGATGAGTGGTTGGATTTCCTGGACGGGCAGTTGGATTTCCTGGACGAGCTGCTTGTTTGCCTTCCCAAGCAAAAGAGTTCCACTGAGGACCCCTTTGACCCTGTTGATTTCGGTAGAAAGGCCCAAACTGTCTGTGATCTGTCACAGTACCAGTGGGATGCCATTGTTTTCCTGAAGGAAAATTTCGGATATTAGGATTTGGATAATTTTTATAAATATTTGGTTGACCTGATCTCCATGGGATTTGGTTTCTGGTAACTGCCTGACCTGAAACATTAACTCTAGGGAGTGGGAAGACCCTATTTTGAGGTGTAGGGTTGCTTCCAGGGTTCTGCCCAGGAGCACTGTTTCCTGTTGTATTGGTGTCATTTCCGCCTTGATTCCCTCCTGCATTTGGTTGGGTAGAATTCGTCTCAGTCAGTGTTGAATTAGCTGAGGTTTCTGTGGCTGGGCTCTCTTCTTTAGGAGGATCTTTTTCTTTAGGCTTTTCATAATCGTCAAACATCTCTTCTGAATAATAAGGGCGACCCCCAAAGCCATGATATCCAAAAAATCCAAAATAAGGATTCTGCAGGAAAGAAGATGAAAAACAATAATTATTCTTATTTCCTACCATGGTCTTGCTTGGAATTTTTTTTTTTTTTTTTTAGCATAATAGGGAAATCGTAGAAGTTACATGCTGCTTTAATACCATTGGCTATGGTTCCTTTCTTGAAATTCTGTTTCTTCCTCATAGTACTTTCTGATATTTTGGGCCTAGGTCTTAAATCTAAGAGGTTTTTAATTTAACCTTTGCTATCCTCTAACCATTTTCTGTTTTCATTTTACAAATTTACCTTGTGCAATCTGTTTGCATGCCAGTATTCCCGATATGGATATGTTCTCCTCATTCCCCCAGGCATACATCTCTAGTTCAGCAAAACTACACTACAGATTTTACAACTATCTCCAAAGGAATGCACCGGAACTGGGCTCATCATCCCTCAAATTTCATTCTCCAAGAATGTTAATGTAGTTTTTCAAGTTTTACTCTTTCCTTTATTTCCTCAATTAATTTGCGTCTCATATGTGTCTGTCCTTTCTTCCGTTATCTCTTTATTTGGAACTAATATAGTAATTTCCTTATTGGCTACTTTGTACCTTTACTTCCTTAACCATGGCAGTCAGAGAGTGGAGGCTAGGCATTGCAGTGTATGATTTTGCCATTTTTTTCTTTAGATATGTAAAGCTATTTACCTCCAAGGATACACTCTAAAACCCTTAGCAAAATGCAGAAGGTGGTGCAACTTTGTACTGAAAGTGGGCCTCTAAAGAGGTGAGTTGAAATCCTTGTTTCACCAACTTTAGTACCATGACTCTTGACTAACCTTATTTTCTTCATTTGTAAAACAGAGAAAGTAATAAAATATCAACTTTATAGTTTTTCATGAGGGTCAAAAAGATAGTGTGCCAGGTGCTAGTGGCTCATGCCTATAATCCTAGCTACTCAGGAAGCTGAGATCTGAGGATTGAAGTTCAAAGCCAGCCCAGGCAGGAAAGTCTGTGAGACTCTTATCTCCAATAAACCACTAGAAAACTGGAAGTGGTGCTGTGGCTTAAGTGGTAGAGCGCTAGCCTTGAGCTGAAGAGCTGAGGGACAGCACCCAGGCCCAGAGTTCAAGCCCCAAGACTGACAGAAAAAAAAAAAGTAGCGCTTGGAACTAGCTGAGTACCTAAACAGTATTATATAATTATTTTATAACATATGTATAATATTATATATACACTATTTTAATAATAGTTCCAGACATAACATTCAACCTTATTTCCTCCCACTTGTACTTTCTGGCCTTGCAAATCATAAATTTTATTAGTTCTTTGAGTACTTAATTTTGTTTGAAAATGGCTTCTTCATATCCAGCTTTTCCAAATACATGTTTATATCTCCTGGCATATACCTCATTCCATATTTCAAGACATACCTTGACTATTAACCTCTGTGTCCTGACTTCAGTGGGCAGAATTTGGTATAGCTTCTACTCATGAGTGTACATGGCAGTGCAGAGTTCGGCCACAATGATCATTATACTCGATATCGGTTACTTATTTTCTTTGGATTCTCCCACTAGCTTTTTCTATGTAAAATTTTGAATGAAAAAAAATATATATATATTTTTTGTGGGTCCGGTCATGGGGCCTGAATTCTGGGCCTGGGTGCTGTCCTTCAGCTCTTCAGCTCAAGGCTAGCGCTCTACCACTTAAACCAGAGCATCACTTCTGGCTTTTTTCTTTTTTGCTTATGTGGTGCTGAGGAATCGAACCCAGGGCCTCCAGTATGCAAGGCAAGCGCTCTACCACTGAGCCACCTTCCCAGCCTGAATGAAAATATTTTTATATGAGTCTTCCTGAACAGTATGAAGTGCTTAGTTTATTATTTTATCAGTTAATGAATGATTTAATCATCACAGCCTTGGCCTGTCACTTTTTTTGTATTTGTCTGGCATTTTATTTTTGTTTGTTTCATGATGTTGGTGATCAGATCAAGGGCCTTGCACATGACAGGCAAGCTCTTCTGAGCTGCCTCTAAACCTCTAGTTTTTGTTTTTTGTTTTTTTTTGGATCGGGTCATGGGGCCTGAACTCTGGGCCTGGGCACTGTCCCTCAGCTCTTCAGCTCAAGGCTAGTGCTCTACCACTTGAGCCACAGAGCCACTTCCGGCTTTTTTCTTTTTGCTTATGTGGTGCTGAGGAATTGAACCCAGGGCCTCATGCATGCAAGACAAGCGCTCTATCACTGAGCCACTTTTCCAGCCCCTAAAACTCTAGTTTTTAATCTTAAATGCACTATAGAAAAAAGTGTTTTGTTTTTTGTTTTTTTTGTCGGTTATGGGACTTGAATTCTAGGCTTGGGTGCTCTCCCTGAGCTCTTCAGCCCAAGGCGAGCACTCTACCACTTGAGCCACAGCACCATTTCCGCTTTTCTGAGGTTAAGAGCCTGGGCTGGCTCTGGACCGTGATCCTCAGATCTCAGCCTCCTGAGTAGCTAGATTATAGGCTTGAGCCACTGGTGCTGAGCTTGAAAAAAGGTATTTTTATCCTCATTTGCAGACATAGATAATGAAACAGACAGGTAAGAAGATATCTCTAACATCATGCAGGAAATTGTACAGTGTCCTCAAGAGGTAGAATACAGAGTTAATGGCTTTGTTAACTGCTTAGGATATTCTGTTTCACTTTTTAATTTTGTTTGTGAAAATCTGAAATGCCAATTTCTAGGTTAGGTTGTATGCAGTTATCTGAATTATTTTTATTTGAATATTTCATAACAATCTTTAGAAAGCACCTTGTATTGTTACTGACTTATTAATCTTCAATATCAGTATTTTAAGAATTCATTGTGTTTTTTCCCTGCCTTCATCAGCTTATTGGTTTCTGTATTTACCTTAAATACTTAATAAAAAGGAGGAAGTAAGCTCCAGGGTAGGGTGCCATGTTACAATCACTATATTGACTTACCTGATTGAACAATGCTACGGTATTTCATACAGTTTAGCACTGTATGAAATCTATTTGATTCTTTTCCTGGAATGATTCAGTAAAAAAGCAGAAACAGCCTATTGGATAGGACATATATATATATATATATATATATATATATATATATATATACTCACACACACACATATATATATATATGTATATATATATATATATATATATTTTTTTTTTTTGCCAGTCCTGGGGTTTGAACTCAGGGCCTTGGCACTGTCCTTGAGCTTCTTTTGCTCAAGGCTAGTGCTCTACCACTTGAGCCACAGTGCCACTTCTGGCTTTTTCTGTTTATGAGGTACTGAGGAATCAAACCCAGGGCTTCATGCATGCAAGGCAAGCACTCTACCACTAAGCCACATTCCCAGCCTTGGACAGGATATTTTAAGAGTGAGGTTTTTGGTCCAATTTGTCCTGTAACCTAGGGGGTCAAATTGGTAGTTTGTCTTTTCTGAGATTCAATTTACTTGTACAATGAGGTACTTAAATGATCATTTAATTCTCAGGATATCATTTTAAGATATTCTTATTTTTTGTCTTTTTATTTACTGTCTAATACTGAGTCTAGTATCAACCTTTAAAACATCTAGCTGGCCGCCAGTGACTTATGCTTGTAATCCTAGCTACTCTGGAGTTTGAGATATGAAGATCATGGTTCAAAGCCAACTTGGGCAGAAAAATCTGAAAGATTCTTATTATTAATTAACCACCAAAAATTAGGAAGTAGAGGATGGCTCAAGTGATAGAGTGCTAGCCTCGAGTGAGAAAACTGAGGGTTAGTACCTGGGCCCTGAATTCAAGCCCTTCTATTGGCACAAAAGAAAACAAAAAACTCAAACCCTATTAGTTTCATTTATAATTATGTGAGAGATCTCTGAAATAAATGTAGAAAAGAAATGATATATTACATTTTATTTAGGTCTCTGGCTCAGTTCCTTTAAGTTGCATTTTCCTTTCTTATTAGATTTGAGTCTACAGGAATAAGCTAATAGATTGCAATTCCTTTTTCCTTCCTTCCTTCCTTCCTTCCTTCCTTCTTCTCTTTCTCTTTGTCTGTCTGTCTTTCTCCCTTTCTTTTTTGCCAGTCCTGGGACTTGAACTCAGAACTCAGGGCTTGGACATTATCCTCTGAGCTTCTTTGCTAGTTTTCTACCACTTGAGCTACAGCTTCACTTCCAGCTTTTCTTTTTCTCTCTCCTTCCTTCCTTCCTTCCTTCCTTCCTTCCTTCCTTCCTTCCTTCCTTCCTTCCTTCCTTCCTTCCTTCCTTCCTCCTCCTCCTCTTTCTTTCCCTTTCCCTTTCCTCTTTCCCTTTTCCTTTCCTTTCCTTTCCTTTCCTTTCCTCTCCGTTCCTTTCCTTTCCTTAAACTCAGGGCCTGGGCACTATCCTTGAGCTTCTTTTGCTCAAGGCTAGCACTCTGCCACTTGAGCAACAGGGCCACTCCCAGCTTTTTCTGAGGAATTGAACGCATGGCTTCATGCATGCTAGGCAAGCACTCTATCACTAAGCCACATTCCCAGCCCAACTTCTGGCTTTTTTTTTTTTTTTTTTGTAGTTCATTGGAGATAAGAGTTTCACAGACTTTTCTGCCTGAACTGGCTTCTAACCCTGATCTTCAGATCTGAGCCTTCTGAGTTGGTAGAATTACAGGCAGGAGCCTGTAATTCTTAATGGAGAATGTAGCTTTACTTAAACTTACTCCTCCTCCATCTTCACTGCTGAGAGGTGGACGTCCAAACCCTGGTGGTGGTACCCTCTGAAAGGTAAAAAACTGCAGTGAACACAGGAGGAAACCATTTGCTGCTATTTATGTGTAAGATGGAAGTTCATCTTGATTTACATGTGAATACTGTGATCTTTTAGCTTCTAAGTCACTGGTTCTCACTATTTGACTATTAAGATGATCTATTAGTGACTATGGATAAATGCAAGGCTTCAGATGGGTCCTAGATTATCTTTCTTTAAATATCTGTGTGTCTACAACTCTTAGAAACCACCCTATCCTGCTATCTCAAACACTCATTAACTCCCAAACACATATCATACCTTACCTTACAAGGGAAAGAGGAAGGGAAGAGGGAAACACACACACACACACACACACACACACACACACACACACACACTTGAGTGATATTAGATTAGATTAGATATTTGGAAATTCAGTGTTTGCTCAGTTGTTATAAAGTGTTATAAAGTTGGAGAGTTTAGAAAAGGTTGTTTGGTTCTAACAGGCTTTCAAGAAATTCTAGTCAATGAGATTAATAAGACACTTCATTGGTTCAAACAGGCTTTCAAGAAATTCTAGTCAGTGAGCTTAATAAGATACTTCATTGTGAGAGTTATACTGCTTTTGAGCTTTACCTAGAACTTCCTTAGTTTCCTTAGTTCACTGTGGCCAGTAAAAAGAAGTTAATGTTTTAAGACAAAAAAGTAAAGGAACTCTTTCTCCTTATTGATAAAAAGTTCTCTTGATTATAGAGTTGTAGGCAAGGAAAAACTTTTGCCATCGTGGAATGAAAAGCCATCAAATATTTTTTATTCTAGGTATTTCTTGACATTTAGTTTTTTTCAATAACTAGTCTTAATTATTTCTTTAATTCAAATAATTTATTTGACTTCATATAATGCCTGTCATATATTTTCAGTATTACATTTTATTATCTGATTTTAAAATTTGAAAGTTCGTATATTTTGTAAGATTCTTTATATATCTATGGCTATTAAAGATAGGATAAGATGGAAAAATCTTACTCTAATCATAACTTACTAAATGTTTTTCAAACTTCATTTTATATCAGTATCTCTATTACCGCTGTGGTGGCTCAGGCCTATAATCCTAGCTACTCAGGAGGCTGAGATCTGAGGATCACAGTTCAAAGTCAGTTGGGGCAAGAAAGTGTGTGTGACTCCTATCTCCAATTTAATCACTCAGAAAACTGGAAGTGGCACTGTGGCTCAAGTGGTAGAGTGCTAGCCTTGAGCTGAAGAGCTGAGGGACAGCGCCCAGACCCAGAGTTCAAACCCCACGACTGACAAAAAAAGCAAAAAAGTCCCTCCATTACATTAAATAGGACTAATCGTTGTTAGTTTGAATCTTTTAAAGAAGCCAGAGAATAGAATAGAGTAACACAAACCTTTAAAATTAACTTGTTAATTGATAATCAATGGCTGTCCAGTAATTTAAATGGTGGTCATGCTAGCAATTAAAAATTTTTATTCAAAATCTTAATCTACACATGTATCAGTGGCTTATGCCTATAACGGTAGCTACTCAGAAGGCTGAGATTCAGAGCATGTTGGTTTGAAGCCAATGTAGGCAGAAAAGTTCATGAGACTCCGTCTTCAAAAGAACCAGCCAATATGACTCAAGCTGCAGATGTAAGGTCGGCCTTGGGAAGGTGAGCAGACTCCTCCCTCCTTTTGGTTAAGTCTCCCCAGTACCTAGGTAACTGGCACACTTGCAGGCAGTCAATCTTCCCCCCCTCCCCCCCACCCAAGGTCACATCCACATCTGGTGTGGCCAAACCTTGTCCACCAACCCCTGGCCTTGATAAGCCCTGGCCCCTGCTGTGGTTCAATCTTTTTTTCCCCCAGCTGCGAGGGCTGCCAACGTGACCAGAGGCAGCCTGCAGCTCGAAAATAAACCTTTCCCCTGCCTGAATACCATGTGCTGCTCTCCCTTTCTTTGGTTGCCTATTTAATTTACCTAACAGCAGAGTGCCACCAGAACAAGCAAGCCTAGCAGTTGCAAGGTCCCGTGTTCATATTCTAGTACCAGCTAAAAAACTTAATTAACTGACTTACTTGTTTAAGACAAAGTTTCCCTACCTTACTCAAGCTGAACCTGAATTCCTTATATAGTCTCTTCAATCTTGAATTCTTCCTGTTTTAGCCTTCCTAAGAGCTGGGATTACAGCTATGTGTCAACATACTTAACTCTTAAAAAAATTCTTTATTAGATATTTTCCTGAATAATTTTTGATGTGATGGTATTGTTTCATACTCTCTACTGTTTGGTATAGCATTCTAGCAGTGAATGAACTTTATTACTTAAGATATAACCTGCGAATATTATCTTTCATTTCTAGTGTAAAGCTAGGCACGGGTGGCTCATTCCTGTAACCCTAGCTACTCAGGAGGCTGAGATCTGAGGATTGGGGTTCATATGCAACCCTGGTCAGGAAAGTCCATGAGACTCTTATCTCCAAGTAACTACCAGAAAACCAGAAGTGGTACTGTCGCTCAAAGTGGTAAAGCTTTGGCTTTGAGCACAAAAGCTCAGGTATAGATAGTATCCAGCCCCTGAGTTCAAAGCCCCATGACTGCCAAAGAAATAAAACCAACCAAACAAAAATAAATAAAAAAGAAAGAAAGAGAAAAAAGAAAGAAAGAAGGCAAGGAAGAAAGAAAGAAAAAAATTCTTACCTGTGGAATTGGCCATGGTGGTTGTTGAAAGGGAAATAGCCCATTGCCAAATGGTGGAAACGGCTAGAAAAAGGAAGAATCAGAGTTATTTGGAAATAAGAAGAATAAATGAAAAAATGAATCAGATTAATCAGTTGTTTATATTTGAAACTCGAGGGGTTATATTTTCTTTTACACTAGTCTCTTTCTCTTCTCTCAGTGTGTATTTTTGAGCAAAGATAATAATAATTAGCACTATTGAACATCAGCTATGGAACATGATGTAAGCACTATCATGAGCATTTTACATTGTTAAATTCTCAGATAACCATGAAAGATATGTACTATTCTTTTTTATGGTCATATGTTAATTGTACAAGGGGAATTCCATTGTAATATTTCCATGCATGCATACTTCCTGTACTATTCCCTTCTACCTACTTCCCCCTTCCAAAACATTTTTTAAAGATGTAAACTACTTAGATATGTAACATTCATATTTCCATTTTACTTAAGATTCTGAGTCTCAGAGAAATGATGTCACTTGCCCAAAACCTTGTGGCAGGGAAATGATTTAAACTAGAGTTCAATTTGGACATTGGTGGCTCATGCCTGTAGTTACTCAAGAGGCTGATATCTGAGGATCATGGTTGAAAGCCAACCTGGGAGGAAAAGTAGTGAAACTCTTATCTCCAATAAACTACTCAGATTAATCCAGATATTGCATGGTGGATAAGTGGTAGAGCACTAGCCTTGAGCAAAAGAAGCTCTCAGGGATGGGGTCTAGGTTCTGAGTTCAAGCCCCAGGACTGGTATGAACAAAAACAAAAGCAAAACAAAACAACAAACTAATATTCAAGTCTAAGTCTAAAAGTATCTCTTTTATTTGGTGCCAGTCTCGGATTCAAGGCTTGAATGCTGTCCCTGAGCTTCTTTGCTCAAGGCTAGTGCTTTCCCAATTGAGCACAGTTCCGCTTCTGACTTTTTTTCTTGTTAAATGGAGATAAGAGTCTTACTGGCATTCCCTCAGACCTCAGCCTCCTCATGGCTAGACCTGAGAGTATTGTTCTATTCATTATTTTTTTGCAAATTCTTTATTGTGATTTCACAAATTTTACAGTAATGTGGGATAGTGATGCTTAGTTAAATTCACAAACACATTCTATTCATTTTTGATAACCTATATCTGTAACAATTCATGATAATACATTACCCAAAGTTAGTATTTTTTATATTCTACTTAGAATGATATTTGAGAAACCATTTGCATATCTTCATAACTGTATGATGTCATTCTGAAGTAGGAGAGTAGTGTGACTACTTTCATTGAAGCATAGCTCTGAAAAGAACTTAGAGGCCACTTAGATTATTCATGGGGAACTTGTGTGTAGAAAGGTGAAATGGCTGGCTCATACATCCAATAAGGGCTGGAGATAGAACTTGAACCTTTGTCTTTGACTATTACAGTTATACTCTTATTCCATGATGACTCCATATTTTAAAGGGATTTTCTTTAAGGTAGTAATACTTGGGTACTTTAGAAAAAAACAAGGCTGGCATTAAGTCTTTTGGCAGTTTTAGGTAAATATCTAAAGTGAATATTGTATTATCATGGAATGATACTTACATTTAATTTCGGAAGAAGTATGTATGTAGCTATGAAGCAATATGTACTCAGGGATTTTGCCCCCCAAATCCTTTTCAAATCATAGTCTTTTCATGACTGATTTGTAATTTTTGGTTCAAGTCTCACCTGAGGTGGTGGAGCCTCCTCTTTGCCCTGAGTTGGTTCATGTGGTGGTGATGTTGAAGGCTGCTTCTGCGTTGGAGTGTTTGTCTCAGTCTGGTTGGGTTTTTGAGTGTCTGGGGTATGGTCATTGTTGCCCTGGTGTTTGGGTGTTGGGGGATTCTGCCATGCACTAGGTGGTGGCTGAGGCCACATAGGCATCTGGAACTGTGGGAACTGCTGGGGAAACTGCAAGCCATTTCCATAAGGGATCATAGGTGCCATCTGAAAGAGATGCAAAGACAATGAAATTACATCAGGTTCGAGAGGCAGACTCTCTACCTTCTAATGTCAGTCTCCAAAATCCTGCCAAGGAATTAAAAAGACTTATGGGGAAGAAAATATTCTATGGAGCTTAACAGTGAAAACTTTAACTTTAGCAGAACTTCTTTAATTATTGTTTTGCAAAATGAACTTCAGTTTTCCAGGAAACCAAACAACTAACTGAAAGGCAGAATTTAGTTTTCGTTTAAATATTTGACAGTGATTTTCTAAATCTGCAACCCTGATACAGGCATAAGAAGTATAAATAAATTACAGACTTTGATGTCAAAGTTAAAACCCATGTGATTTATTATAGGTCAGATGGAAGAAAAAACCCCCAAACAAAAGATACAGGAAGTGAGTTTGCAAAGCAAAAACAGAAAAAGCAGAACAACAAAAAAAGAAAGTCTAAAAATTATGTCTGTGTAAACACCTATATCTGTTCATATGCTCCTTTGTTAGAGATGGGTCCACTAGATTGGACAGGAAAACAAAGTAGTTATAACCTTAAATTACTAATTCATTAGGTGATGTAAGTTACAATCAGTTAGTTCCCATTCAAATATTCACCCTGATTTGATGCTAAACTTTGTGTTTTTAAACTTGCTCTTGTGTGTGTGTGTGTGTGTGTGTGTGTGTGTGTGTGTGTGTGTGTGTGTGTGTGTGTGTGTGTGTGAGTCAAGGTCTCACTATGTAGCCCAGGCTGGCCTCCAGAGCTACTCTTTTTTTTTTGCCGTTGTGGGGCTTGAACTCAGGGCCTGGGCACTGTCCCTGAGCTTCTTTTGCTCAAAACTAGCACTCTACCACTTGAGCCACAGTGCCACTTCTGGTTTTTTCTGTTTATGTGGTATTGAGAAATTGAACTCAGGGCTTCATGCATACTAGACAAGCACTTTACCCCTAAGCCACCTCCCCAGACCTAAACTTATTCTTTTATTATCTATTGGATATTCATATTACAGTGCAAAGATTATAGAACTAATGGAAGACAATATTGTAAATCTTGCATTAAAATGAAGGATTTTAGAATGTTATGTTGGCAAAAATTTCATCTCACTGGCAAAAGCACTAAAACCAGGAAAGAAGGTGTGAAAAAGAGGGACCATTTATGTTAATACCACAAGAAAGTGACATGCTATGTTCTCATTTGTACTATACAATTTTGTCAGACAAATTTTGCGAACATTCCAACTGATGCTTGATGCAATTCTTGCATTAGTTTGTTCTGAGGATTAGAATACAGTGACATGTTAACCAACATTTATTTTAATAAAATAAAAGCTCACACCTTTTGTTTTACTTTTCAAGATACTCCAAATAAAATTTACTCTTCTAATAACACTTACTTCATTATTTTTTAAAAAAAATTTTTTTTGGGTCCAGTCGTGGGACCTGAACTCTGGGCCTGGATGCTGTCCCTCAGCTCTTCAGTTCAAGGCTAGCGCTCTACCACCTGAGCCACAGTGCCACTTCCGGCTTTTTTCTTTTTGCTTATGGGGTGCTGAGGAATTGAACCCAGGGCCTCAGGCATGCAAGGCAAGCGCTCTACCACTGAGCCACCATCTCAGCTCCCCACTTCATTATTTTTTTATTGTCATTACTGTGAACATATCTTCTGTGATATATTCCCAGAACTATATTTTTGTTGGATACGAAAAATTCTTACAATTAATAGATATTTTTTATTTGTAGTAAAAGACAATAGTGTTAAATAAGGAAAAAATCTTACATGAAGGTACAACAAAATTATTTTTATAGTGATTATAGCATAATTAAAGCCCATAGATGGCTCTTACTGTCTTTGTTACCTAAGATAAACCATATAGCAGCTATCTGAATATAAATAAAAAGTCTGCAGAAATAATATAAAAAAGAACTTACATATGGAGGACTCATAAAGTTGAATTGACCATAACGCATCATCTGCAATGAAAGGAATCTATTAATGTAACACACAAAATGCTTTTATCTAAATTTTAAGAAATGTCAATTTTCTTATTTTAAGTCATGTTTTTTATAATGACTTTTACTAATTATACGTGAATTTAACATGAGTATTCATTAAAAAATGTAGGGAAAGGGTGACATTGCTCAAAAGAAATGTATTCTTTATCTGATATATGTAACTATAACCCCTCTGTACATCACTTTTACAATAACAATAAATAAATTTAAAAAATGTAGGGCATTTTAATATTTAAGTCAGAATTTCATTTTGTGCAGAATCAATATAGAATAATAGAAAACAAACTTGTGGTTTACTTTGAAGTTTTTGAGTGTTCTGTTAATTTGAACTTCAGAATTGGGAACAAAGTAATTCTAAGATGAATTTTCTTTCTGATGTATGTTGAATTTGGTTATTGATAATGAGTTATATAAAATATATTTATATACTTAAGTATCTACTTTTAACCACCTTTGCTATAAATAACTGGGTAACAAAGTTACCAACAAGCTAGCTAAATTAGTCAATTAATTTTAGCATAAATTTACATTTATCTTGAAAAGATATCTTCAGATATTACAAAAAGATATTAAATTGAAAATATATTATAAAATATAGCATCTTAACAATATTGAAAGCACAAATAGGATCATATTAGGGCAATTATTACTTTGTCTTGATTTGAGAGTTTAAGACTTTCAATTCTCCCTCACTTTTATCATGGGCATTAGAATAGTTAGAAAATTTACCTGTATTTTCATTTTTTTCTTTAAAAATTTGTTACTATAAAGGTGATATACAGAGGAGTTACAGTTACGTAAGTCAGGTAATGAGTTCATTTCTTTTTGGACAAGGTCACCCCTTCCTTTGCTCTCTCCCAGATTTTCGCTCTTATCCCCACTTGCAAATTATACAGTTCATTTTCATCATAGTGTCTAGTTAGTACTACTGCTGAATTTGTTCACCCTTTGTTCCTCCACTGGTATTTTCACTTTTAAAGGAATTTCTAGACTCTAACTTAGCCTCAGATACTAAGCATACATACCTCCTCACTTTTACTGCTAAATCCAGGCATTCGGGGCATGGGCATCTGGAACTGAAAGAATATCAATGACAAATGCAAAATATCAGTTGAAATAATCCCAACAATGATTCCCCAGCTACGCAACAACAGAAACAAAGAAAAGCCTAACACTTTAAGAAATACTCACTGGCATCGCAGCGGAATTGCCAAGCAGACCTAGAAAGACCAGGAAAATCTTCATTTTCCCACTAGGTACCTAAAAACAAAACTGAATATTATTTTTGAACTACAAAATAATTATGCTTAGATTACTGTGGTTACTTAGAAGCTCACTTTGTCAAGTAGCGAAGAGAAATGTAAGAAGTGTCTGCTGTCTATTTTAAGAAACTACTAAATAGTTATTACTCAAAGAAACCAGATTAAAAAGGAAAAATAGGAGAAAGTGGAGAAAGGGGGAGGAAGGGGGGAGAGAAAGGAGGAAAGAACACAACGATGCTAAGAAAATCGTTCTTAACAATAAAATGTGGGAATTAAAAATTAGGAAGTTATCAAGTTGCTAGAAAGACATAGTGATGTCCAACTATACTCATTATACAGAATAATGTTTCAATCAGCACACACTTCAAACTGAGGACTTTGCAGTACTTTCTAAGATGCTATAGACAACATTCCATTGTATAGAAGTTAATTAACAATCTAATTAAATAAAATAGAAAATTTCAGAATCCTATTTTTCCATTCTTCTATTTCTCTTTTTAAAAATTATCATCATCATCATCATCATCATCATCATCATCATCATCATCATCATCATCACTACTACTACTAGTACTACCACTGTTTTACGTTTAAAAAGACTTTCTGTTGAAGGATTTGACCAGAAGAAATAGGCAGAAATGTAAATTTATCTCCTTGTTAGACAAGGAGCTGAAATATGTGTGTGTAGTATAGATATATTTAGTACTGTGAAATTAGTACAACATACAGAGGCTAAAAAAAATTCTTTGAGAGGTTTTCTTTCTAAACATTTCTAAAATGTGGATCAATATTTTGAGTACTTTTGGATGTTTATTTGGTTAGTTATCTATTTAATCTCTACAGTATGTTTCACAATGATAACTATGGTCTTTATTTTACAAATATAAAAATTACTTATTTTCTCTTTTGTAAAATAGTATATTTTGTCAGATGATTTTTAAGATATGGTCTACCTTTAAAAGTAGATGATTGGTGAACACATTACCATTAGGGTACTTTTAAAGGAACAAGTCACAATAAATGCCTATTTTTAAAAGTGGGAAAAAAAAGCACATGATTGGATAAAAGTCTATGATTATTCTTTGAATTTGAAATAATCATGATTGCTATGAAGTACCATGATCATTTAAGTTTTTACTTCTTTCATCTGTGAACACATATGCTCTTAGGGTCTTTTTACATATTTAGATAGTGTGACTTGATAGTTTGATAGAATAAGTACTGGGGAAAAAATGAAAATACTCACCAAGTTATGTAGTTTAGGAAAAGAGATTCTATTTCTGCACTGAAGCAGCAACATTTTTTCTCCAAAATTTTCATAAGCCTTTTGGGAAAAATAAAGATTTAGTATGAGAAAAGAGCTAAAATATTGAAGTGGAATAAGTAAATGAAACAAATAGCAAAGCTTCACCTCTAAGGTAGCACATGTCATGTTAAATTTTATCCGATCATACCCTTATTAGACGGTCCTCAAAATCAAGTTTAATCTTCTGTTGTTTTAAGATTAGGATGAAAGCTAAATCAGAGAGAAAATGACATGGGCATTGTATTTTGAGATACTTCTAGTGCAAAACTTCACTTCTTTATGGGGAACTGTACAAAGATATGGTATTTAAGAGGTCTTAAGGAGTTTGGAAGAAAACCTACAAGAAAAACAAACATACCAAATAAGACAAGGAGGTGAAACTTTGATCAGATTAGTCTATAAAAATGATTAAATAACCAATATTAAGGAATTCAATTAAAAATCCATCAACCTCTATGAATTAAGTTCATTATTTGGCAATTTACACAGTTTTTCTTGATAATCTCTAGTACTCACCCAGTGCCAGGTAGAAGCTGCAATATATAAAAAATAAACTTTAACTTGAACCTTGTTAGTCTGTCTTGGAAATCTATTCTTAATGGTCTATATGGAAATGACTACAAACTGCTGAAGTCAGGGAGAACCAAGGAGCAAGACACATTTATTTCTTAATAACAAAACAAAAATTCTTCATGAAGGTGCCATGTTCAGTATCCAAAAGGTTTAAAATAAAAGTATTCCTCCTTGTCAGAAAGCTTGGCATAGCAAGATCACATATAAGCACTGTTCTGGACATGTACAACCAATCAGCTTTGAGGAAAATGGTTTTGCCATCAAAAGAGTTTAAGGTTAAAAAAAAACGTCCAATGTAAAATTTATAATGTGTTATTACAGGAGCTGTGAAATCAAGTCTCTTATTATGTATAATAACAGTTTACGAAAAGGAGCTTACAGCAGTAAGATTTAGAAGATGCTTTCCTTGTGAATTTGGGTTTTGAAGTGTAGATACTTCATTTATACAAATATATTTTGGGAACAAAGGTGAGTATTAACTATGTGCTATTGTCAGAAATTATTGGCCATTATCAAAAGACAATAATATATGCAGTTTAATATATTTAATTAATATATGGTTAATGTATAATTAAAATAAACTTAAATATTATATATATGGCCAGTTCAATGACTTGATTTGATTTCAATTATGTAAGGCTCATAGAATACAGCTTCTTTTTTAAAGTCAAATGAAGTTCAATTACTGGGGATTTACAGTTTCAGAAGAGTTGGACAAAACAGGTGTTAAGAAATTCACTGAAGGGGTTATAGTATGGATTTTCCCCTTTCAACCTGACTATTCATAATAAAAATTTCACTTCTAAATAAATCTCAATATACTTTTCATTTTTCATTGGCAAGAGCAAGCTTTGCATTCTTTGTTGAACTTGATGCTTCTGTTCTCTTATGTCTCCATAAGAGAAAAATGTTTAACATGGTGATGTTTGCTTAATTTAAGGCTGGAATTTAAAAACAGAGAGATTGAATTTGATCCAAAGCTGATTTCTGCAGTCTTCTGAATTACAGGTTGAGCCACTGGTACTAAATCTGTTTTTTTCCCCCCCTTAGGAAATAAAACAAGACAAAACAAAGAAATAAAGAATTGTTTAACTTCATAAAATGTTGTGAAACAGTTCTATGAGTTTTCTTCTTTTATTTTAGTCGTCACTTATTTTTTATAAATTCTCTTTTTCCTCTGAACAGTTGCAAGTGTTTGTGAACATGCTTTATGACTTGGCTTAACATTTTTTGAAATGCTTATTATTATTTCTGGTGCCTGTCCTGGGGCTTGAACTTAGGGCCTAGGGGCTGTCCCTGAGCACAAAGCTCTACCACTTGAGTCAAAGCTCTACTTATGGCTTTTTGGTGGTTAGTTGAAGATAAGAGTCTCATGGACTTTCCTGCTCCAGCTGGCTTCAAACCATAATCTTCAGATCACAGCCTTCTGAGTGGCGAGGATTTCAGGCATGAGCCACCAGAGCCTGCCGTTTTCTTTCTTTCTTCTTCTTCTTCTTCTTCTATATTTTCCTTTTAATCCCTAAAACAAAGCTCTCATTTATAATCCAAAGTTTGGGATTGGAATTTGTGATTTGTGTATAAATCCTCTTCTCCTCAAGAGAAACCACACATCTCCCAAAGGTCTGACCACCACACTTCTCTTTGAGCCCAATTGTTAAGATAGTCTTATTAATGTAGATTTAAAGTTATTAGTAACAGAAAAGTCTTTTGATTTCTAACTCTTATAAAGAGACCAGGTTTTAAGTTGCCAGATGAGCTTAAACTTTCTGTAGATCACCTATCTAATTTCCTGTTTAGTAAAATTTCTCCTAGTAAAAGTGAAATAGTATCTTTATACGTAAAAGTTATCTATGAGATAACTTTCAGTGACAGTGACTTTACAATGATTTACTAATGACTTGAGAAATACAATCATATACAGTATAGAAAAAAATATCCTCTTCTATGTCTATCCATTGAGCTGAAATTCTGTGGCTTATCAGTAGCAGAGCATGCTCACCCTACAGGATCACTGAATAAAGCTCTTGAAATTAAAGTAATTTTAAGTCTCCATTGCTGGTATAGAATAGTGTATTAACTATCCAAAACATTAGCTTCTCTCTGAAATCAACCAAATAGCATTGTTCTCAGGTCATAAATATGAAAAACTATTTTTTAAAATTTGGTGCTAATCTTTTTTAAATTTTTTAAAATTGTTATTATAAAAGTGATATACAGAGGGTTATAGTTACATAAAAGACACTACTTTTAAAATAAAGAAAAAGTGTAGCCTAATCTCCTTGACTAAATGGTTCTGACAGTTCTAGAGCAGCCTCTTCATACAAAGCCTTAGGCTTAGGTACTGACCCATCCTGCATATATTAGGATAGGACATTTTCTGACTCAGGCTCAGTAGTGGATTCATATTCTACAACTTGATTTAAAATCTTAGTCAAGTAGCCAGGCACCGGTGGCTCACGCCTGTAATCCTAGCTACTCAGGATGCTGAGATCTGAGGTTCATGGTTCAAAGCCAGCCCAGGCAGGAAAGTCCATGAGACTCTCATCTCCAATTAACCACCAGAAAACCAAAAGTGGTGCTGTGGCTCAAGTAGTAGAGTTCTTGCCTTGAGCTGAAGAGCTCAGGGACAGCACCCAGGCCCAGAGTTCAAGCATAGTTCAAATAAATATTTTAAATAAATAAATGTCACTTATTATAATTATTAGATGTTTCTCAATAGTTGCTTTATTAGTGACCAGCTACATATTCCTAAAGGTTTTCTAGGAATGATCTTCTTCCTGTACTTGTTTGTTCATCAGAATAGATAAAACAACGATTAAGCATCTACATATATAGAATATGAAAAGGAAAGTATCATAAGACTTTTCAGATTTTATCTAATTTAACTCTAGCATTTGATGTGTGAGTAGGAAAATGAGTCAGTGAGTTAATGTTGATGGTGTTCTTTATTTGGATTACCCTCAGAAGTAGTATTTATTTCTTAGAGCTTTGTGCAATCACAATTCATATTGGACATATATATATATATATGTACACATATGTATTATATACACACATATATATCCTAAATGTATGCACAATATTAGCTTTAAAAAGATCATATCAAAGAAGATTGTCTCATTATAACCCTAAAGAAAGAAAACTTTTATCATAATCTAATGGCTAAGAATTTAGGCCTTGAGATTGGTGCTGCTGAATGTTTTAAATAGCACTTGATGTGCAGTGTGTCATATAGTTTGTTTTTTAACTTATACTTCAGATAAACTGATTGTGTTGTTACCTCATCATGGAAAAATCTTATATCTGATTACCTTTTTCATAACTTTGTTACAGTTTATGTCCTCTGTTGGCTAGAAAAACTATGTAACATTCTGTGTTTCCCTTTCACAAATTACTAGGCAACCCAGAGCTGAATTTAATGCTTAATTACAATGGATAGCAGTTATTTGATGCCTGTGCTAATAAAATTTCATGGGTCTGCCTTAAGAAAAACATTAGAAAAATAAGAAAGCAAATATTCATTTTGATTAGATAGGAAATTGCAACAAATTTCATATTTTAAAAAGGTCACAGTACAACCACTACAAAATTCAGAAAACAACTTAGTATTTTTTCTAAGTACTTGGTGCACCTCTATAATAGTATCTCATTTGGTGCATTTTAGGAACATTTATTTTGACTACCATTTGTTTCTAGTGCCAGCTGCCAAAAACATTTTCATATCACGTAAAACCACTGGTTCTGCACTTTTGAGTCACATAGCAAAATGAACGGTTGGTCATTGAGATTCCAGCAGAAACTATAGGAATATTCTTGGAAACCATTCCTACATGAGATGGCCAGTAATATTTTAACTATATAGTATACAGAAATAGACAGCAATCTCATAAATATGTTCTACTAAAAATTATATGTTTTCCTCTCTCAAATTTCTTAAAATGTCTATGGTGATTCTAGCACCATTTGATTTTAGAAGTGGGACAGTGAAAATTATTGGAATAGAAAGGTAGAATTTTTAGCCAGTTGTGGAGAAAATTTATAAAATCTCATGGCCATGTGAACACATTACCTAAATTCCATCTGAGGGCACCACTTGTAGAGTATGGAAGGGGCCTGTTTTACACTTTTCATTATGACTCTGCATCTGACCCTATACTAAGACTGCCCATAGATTTTCTTTGTGCTTGTGCTTATCTTCTAACTTTATCAGTCATTCTTGTTTCTTGCTGTGAATTCTCTACAAAACTTTTTTGGGAGGATATGTGTATATGTATATGCATATATGAAATAAAACAGAGTCAATATAAATATTGGCACTAAATAATATCCTCATACATTTTGGTATGTATTTCAATAGTAACTTCATTTCCTATATGCTAAGCACTGTAAGTGCTTTAGATGACTTATTAGCAAAAGCCCCG